ATTTTTTTACATGATTAAAACACTTGAATTAACACTAATTAATTTAAAATAAAAAATAAAAAATACATATTTACCTCCTCATCGATATTTATAGTTTTATGTGTTAAATTCCAGAACCATTTTTTACATGATTAAAAATATTTTAATATTACTCTTATATTAGTAAATTCAAACTAAATTTTTGATTTATTTACCTTATCATTGTCAACATCTGTAGTTTCGTGCAATAAATTCTAGATCTATTTTTTTTACAGTTTAAAAAACTTGAATAAACTCTAATTAATTTAAGAATTCAAAAAACAAACATATTTATCTTATTAATTCTTTCCTCATACAAATTTTAGAAATATTTTTAGAGTAAGTTGGTTTAATTAATTTAAAATTCTAATTCAAATTAAATTATTGATTTTTTTACCTCATCATTTCTTTCATCATCCTTTTCAAAAAGTTTAGTTGATTTAGTTAAAGACCCTGAATTTCAACTGATCTCAGCTGCCATAATTAAAAAGTTTCTTACCTGATTATTAATATTAGCGCGTTCATTATTAAGTTGGCACACATTTTTAACATCGTAGCTTGTATGCTATTTGTTGATTGATTAAACATTTCAGAGACAACATTAATCAATTTATCCATGTCTTGGTCATATTCTGAGTTGTCACTAACACTTTTATTGTATAGTTGACATTTTGGAACATTCTTATTATCAGCAATTCTCTAAAAAAAAATTCAGTTATTGTTGCATATTCTGAAATTCAAATATTATACAACAAAAAATTTTTTGCTCTTGGTACTTCTAAATTTACGATAATGTTGGTTCTATTATCTAATGAGATGGTTGCTAAGCGTAACTGGTTATTGAAAGTAACAGTAATAACTTTTTTACTGGTTGCTTTCCAAATAAGGTTGATCGAATTTCTCAAAATTTCTTTACTTTCTACAATTTCAACTATTATCGTTATTTTTTTAATATCACAATAGCAAAATCGTTGATATTTTGAAAGTATTAAAGAATAAGAATTTATATATACTAGTTGCCAAAGGAAGCCAAGTTATTTATATAATTATGTAATGATATCATTATAAATTTACGTATGCATACTCTTTGAAAATATAACGATGATTCCATTACATGTTTCATGAAATCGAATGATTACTTTTCTCATTGGTATTAAATATGTTATTTTTAAATTTTGTTTAAGAATGAGCAAGAATTTAAAGTATTACAAAAACAGGTGATTCATAATTATGGAATATCTATACTTTTAGTGATAGTATAAGACTAAGACTCATAAACTAAATAGACTGTTATTACACAATATTGATAAGCTATATATCTAGCTAATTAATTAGCATAAAACTTTAGGATTTTTACTAATCTGAAATATTTCATATTCTTCTACCGAAAAAAATGAACATTTATCACTTTCAACTGTAGATTCATTTCTAATTCATTTTTCATATGAAAATTGACTACTCCAACAACTAGAATTACTCTCAATTGTATGGCCTAGTTTTTTTACACAACTTAAAATAGAATTTTGAATGGTACCATTTTTCAATGAAAAAATAAAGCTATCTTTGCAATACTTATAACCTACAAATAATTTATTCTAACCAACAGGATTATTATGTCTTTCCAAATATTTTTTTAAGAATTTGTTGATATGGTTGCACATTATTAACAATATCATCACTAGACATCTGAAAATAATGGATATGCTATAAACAATTTTGTAAGGTGGTTTTTAAAGCTAGAAAATTTTTGTGAGACCAATTTTCAAAGTCAGATGGTAGACCAAGATTTTGAGCAATTTCCCATTACTTCTTTCATTTGTAAATCATCCTGACTAATAAGTGAGACTAACGTATTTTCTTTAATTAAGATAAGTTAAAAATCTTATCAGGATACTTTACTAAAATATCATTGCACCATGTGATACTATCTTATGGAAAAATAAATATAAATGCTATAGTAAGCTAATTTGATGCTTTAAGTCAGCATTTGATATTATTTTGTGATCAATAACTCTTATTTTAAAACAAGAAAAGTCACATCAATAATATAATTTCTCGAACTCATTTTATTCTCCTACGGCATCAAGATGCCGTCGAAGAATGATTATCCAATTATGAAATCACTATAAAACTAATTGTAATAAGATTAAACAAACATAACTGCATAAAATCATATTAAGAATATTTCTTGTCTTAATAATTTGTCCATCTTTACTAATAAAATGTTCTTGTTACTTTTATAAATTTATTTGTTTAGTACCAGTTGAAAATTATAAATATTCTTGCGCAAGTTATTATCTTTGAAATGAATTCTTCTTAATGCAGAAACTTTTGTTTTTTTTAATGTTAAACTCTAATATAGAAGACTAGAACTTTTCTTCTAGTTCTTTTAAACTTAAACCAGATAATATGTAAGAATTTACACTATTTACGGTTTGATATTTTTCAATTTTTTCAACAAGTTTAGTCTATTCAAAATTTGTTACCTTTCTAAGTCTAGGAGGGTCAATAGTTTCGCTATCGTGAATTATCTTCCAGCCTAGCCTTTGAACAAGTATCAATAAGCGTCAGGCAGCAATCATCGTATTACTTATTCTTGTTGAATTACCCTTATGATAAATAATAAATGCTTCTGCTTCCATAATCTTATATACATGGCTTGCAACTACTTCGCCTTTTGTAAATCGGCGGTTCCAAGGGTTTGCTTTCAGGTTTATTTCTTGTTTTTCTTTTCCCATCTCTTGATCAAACACATTTATAAGGCTGGGGACCGAAAACTGATTATCTTGTTTTAGTTTTTTTACTTTTATTGTCAGCTCACATGAAATAAATGCTAACTCACAAAGAGAATAGATATATTTAACCCTTGAATTGCTATAGCCGGTTTCATTATGAGAAATTTTCCTCCATACATTTCTTATTTGGCTTTTAATATCGTCATTTTTTTCTTCGAATTCGTTAGTTGTAGTAGATAAAGAATTCGAAAATTTATTCCATTCGTTAATTAATACTTCATTAAAGATTTCAGTTCTCACATATTACTGTAAATTTTTATTAGCACTGGATCTTCTTTAATTAGGATATTTGTGTAGTTATTTGTCTTTTTCTAAAGTTTTTTGAATCATTTTGCGTTAAATATGAGTCAAAATCAATAAAATTACATTATAGATTATTACCTGATCATCATTATTGTTATGTTCTTCATTTAACTATTCAATAAAAAAATAATTAATTAGTTTAGATGATGACTATAATTAAAACTTATTAGGCCGTTCAAAGTATATTTTGAAACTGGTTTTATTTTTCATATGTTAAAGCTGATTTTAATCGGTTTTAATATAGAAAAATAAAACTGGTTCCAAGCTCTAGTTCTAATATGTACAGTATTGCAGAGTAGATTCAATTAAATCATGCGATTATTTTGTGTGTTGTGGTTGGTCATTTAATTTACTTCAACTTAAGAAGTTCTTACTTGTGAAGGTTGAATATATTCATTTAAAATATCGTCTTCATGATCAATTGAATTTGCAGATTGCAGAGATATTGAGCTTTCATCTGCTTCAATATCTTTAGAATTATTACGCGATGATTCCTTTTTAAATTTCAATATCACTTTAGTACATAGTAGATCTATCGCATCATAATTTAATTATGAATTCCCAACCTGTACCTCAATTTCTTGATTATCTTCTATTTCATGAACTTGCTTTAAGAAATAAGAATGTTATTATATGGAAAGTGACTGTTAGCATAATTACTATTTTAATAACGTGTCTTAAGTAGGAATTCCTACCTCACTATTAAACTCTGACTAGATTTCTGAAACATCTTCATTTA